AAGACCAATATTATCATTGATTATTTATCAAGCTATATATCACTCAATGATTTGACTTGTAAATTTTCGTTATAATGAAATAATAAATAAATACGAATGATTCATAGGAAAATACACAATATAGAGATTGTATATTTTGTTTAAAAATCATTAATAACGAATTAGATATGAGGACAATGCACGTGGACGACTAATAATTTTTATAATTGGGTTCCATTCATTAGTTCGTATATAATATATAAACAATCGCTTTATCTTGAGTCGGCAATACACATACACAGTGTAAAACTTGTGTATATGCATTGCGTAAGTTCAATTTTTAACAAAATACTGGTAATCCCAAAATACCGTTTTTTTTGTATCAATACCGGTATTGAATACCGGACAAAAATCGTCCGGGATCCCGGTATTCGGGATCACAGTATCCCGGTATTGTAAGCCTTAGTTCTAATACCTTAAACTTTTTTGAAATATACTTAATATGGCCTAGAAGAAAAAGTTAGAGCATAGCAGCTCAATAAGACAAAAGTTCTGATTGCTGTTAAAAAACGAGACTATAAAAAATGAAACTTAAAACTATCTTTCACAATCTCTTTCCTGAAATGTAACTCATCCATCGCCATCGTCAGACGTGTGGTTCCAGTTACCAGTTACCAGTTACCAGTTACCAGTTATCATAATCCGATGCACCTACTCATCTACCATTAATAATAATCGCCTAGCTAGCTAGAATCGCGCCGTATCAATTTCCACGAGAGAGAATTACAACAAATAAACGAACAAAAACAAAAACGTTTAAGAAACAAAACAAAAGAATTAATGATATGATATAAGCAGCGAATGCAAAAGAAACAACAACTCGGACTTCAGGCTGAGGTAACGCTTCGTTCGCGCGCGGATGCACATTTCCAATACCAGAGTTAACTGTGATTGACGAATATACACGTCATGGGTAAGTGTTAGCCGGAATTTGGCGGGTATATTCGTCATGCGTGCAAAACAATAGACCATTTAAATTTTGAATTAAAATTATTCAATTCAACTTTATCACTAAGAATTCAGATGCAAGTATTTAAATAACATTTCTACCATTTATTTTAACAATAGATTTTGCGGAATTTTTTTCTTTTTACATTTACATGCATAGAATATCATTGAATTTAATCCATTTTTAGTTTAATACTTATGTATTTATCCTTATATTAACAAAGAAGTATATTGTAGTAGGATGCGCCGAACACCAATGTTGAGTATGGAGTTTGTTTAAACCCTTTCGGAATAGTTAATTGTATATAACTCGAAGCTATTCCTAGAATTTGAAAATTGAGTATATTTAGAAAAGTGAAGTTATCTTTCTTGTGAAGACGGTCCAATAGATAGTTGCTTGAAGTCTCAGATATGAATTTTGAGGAATGGAAAATACTCCAAACACCATAGGAGCACTGGACGAAATTAATTAAATGATTTAAAATAGATAAGACTCGAGCAAATGAACTGTGAAACACTCAAACAGTCGTATCACCGCAAATCACAATGAAAATAAAATCAATTTTGTAAAAGAAACCCATATTTTTCATCCTATATCTTGGCATCGCATCTTACTCTGATACTCTGATGAATTTGGATGACTCAAAACTGTGAACACTGTTTTCTAAAGTAAATTGGTTAAATTAATTTGGACAAACTATAAGGATGAGATTCCAAGTCTTAATAAATCAAAGATGGCAAAATAAATGATTAAAAAAATTAAACGCCCCAAAGCAATTTCCAAATTAGTTGATCCATAAAGACGGTATCAGTAAACAATGAAAAATACGAACTCATTCACATATGTACAAAAGTAGCTTTGAGGATCACCCAACCTAACTTGTCAGAGAACTTTTAGAGCCAGATTAAAAAAAAAATTCAACATTCAACATTAATCTCTGTCAATTTCAAAATCTTTGTAAAATGGGTTAGATTATTTGCGATTAATGTGTTTCTTCTATTAATTACTATATGTCTTTACACTATAAAAATGGGTTAGATTATTTTGTATTTTTGAAGCTTTTACTTTTAGTCCTAAAGATTTATTTGCTGTTTTTTTGTTAAGATAGTTGTGAAAAGTATTTCCTAACAAAAAAGAGTGTCTGCTGGATGATGCATTTTGGACTAAGATTATATAAAAATAATGTTTGTGAAGAAAGTGAATGTAAATAGTAACTTCTTCACATGAGCAATGTAAGTGAATTAACAATACCATTTGTGTATTATAAGGAAGAGGCAATAAACTATTCAACTAATGAGGTCATACTAGTGAAAAATTGTATTTATTAAATGTATAATATTATACTAAAGTGAGTCCAATTTTTTGGCTATTAGGAAACATTGCAAATATGATTCTGTTGGTTATTTCAAGAAGCTTTGCCCAAGAAATCATAAGCCGTTGATTTTTGATCCTCATTACACATTTTAATTTAATAAAAAGAAAAGTATTTTCTCCGTGCTTTAAGTTCAGTCTCGGCTAATAATTTCTGCTTATTGCAGTTTGTGTAATAAACTAAATAACTGTACAGCCATAATAACCCCATGGAGTAAAATCGATCGACCAACTGCAAAATACATTGATGGTGATTGGTATTGACGACATGAGAAACCAGAGCAAAAAATGTACTCAGTTTGAACTTCAAATTAAAATTTATAAAAAACATCGACATCTTACAGATTTACCTAGAGCAAGTTGATTGGTTTTGCTAATTTTATTATTCCTTCTATGATTTCACCCATAACTTTGGTGAATCCCCAGGCAAAAATAAAAAAGCTCTAATCCAAACTAACAGGATTTGGCATACAAATGTATACGAACACAATTTTCGAAAGCAACATTGAAGATTACTAAAAGGTAAAAACATAAAAAATTTCTTATTACAATTAATGTAAATATGCCGAGTAACGTTTGTATCAATATTTTATAGGTTTGCACTTAAATTGGAATATAACTTTGCATTTAAATTGGAATAAAGATCAGTATTGCAGTTGGTTGGTGCAGTCGATAAAATGCACATTCCTAACCGCTAGAGCATGTTGTATCACATGACAAGAGAATTCGCAATAAAACTTGATTTAGAGTTTGTTTTATTAGATGCGTAACAGTCTGTCTAACAGCATTCTATGTTATAGACAAAGAGCGGATAAATAATAGCCAGGGATAAATAAAAATTCCCAGAATACTAATGCAATTATTAATCTGGACATAAACTAGTACTCGGTTCGATTCCAACTTCGGCCGAGGTTGACATCAAGTAGCATGGTGTCAAATTTCCACTTGAGATTATATATGAAATAGGCAATAAATTCTATTGAGTATAAATCATTTGTCACGACGGGACAGGACAACCTCTGGGTTGCTTACCAAAGAAATAAGCCATTCTCTAGATGTCAACAGAAGTGACAAAATATCTTCTAAATATGGACAGATTTTAAGTACTTTTTCATGCCTTATTATAATAAAATAATATTGATATAAATTAGCGCCATGGAACATAAGACTGAGTAAAATAAAGTAGGTCTACCTGGTGGACTCTCATAGGAATGAAGTAATCAGGATAATATTTAGCCCACATTTTTTTTTTTAAATTACAATATTTATTATAACTGTAAAATAATTAACATCTAGCAATACTGATAAATAATAACATAAATTTAAATAATTTAGCCCACATGTACCCAATATTTAAAGACAACATAAAGAGTCAATTTGAGGTGTTTGTAATGCAGTAGTAAAAGCCTCAGCCTTGCAACAAAAAAGTTTCGAGTACAAATCCCTAGCAACGAATGACCTGGTATCAACCAGTAGTGACACCAGTTTTCAACTAAAGATATAAACCCAAAATATGTTTGCAAGTAAAAATAGCCCATTGGGACATTTCTGCATAT